GTTTCGAGAAACATAACAAGTGTGACCAGATAAGTTCAATGGGATTTAACTCTCCGTGATAAGGAGGCAATCTGAGAAAAATCAATTCCTTTTTCTCGGTCCATCTCGTCTATAATATACTTTTTGAATTTGCTTTGCTGTTTCGAGTAATTTGACCTCTAAGGATTTAGTAGGACTAATAATTTTTTAGAATAAATTTTTTTTGAAATATCTTCTTTTTTCCATTGTCTTGTGTGTGTTAGTGTGTGTGGGGGGTGCATTGGCATCAGAATGATCCATTTGCCACAGAATTTTATATAATTACGAATGTAAAAATTATATTTTTATATAAGAGGAAAATTATGTTTTTTAATTTGTTTTAAAAAGGTAATCAAGGCATCGAAAATATTTTTATTTTGAGTGCTAAGTAAGGACGTAATATTTGACTGTAACGAAATATGATTTAAAGCTATAGTTTATACCACAGGAAAAGAAAATATGATTTTAGTCCCCAAGTGAAATATTGTCTCATGACTAGAATGGTGATGGATTTATACCAATCTTATAAAGATGAGATGGACATTTTGCATGGTTAAGTTTGAGACGTGTAATAGTTACTGCATATTTTCTTGAGATGGTGAAGTTTAAAAGGTGTGGAATGTGACGTTTAATAGTTACTGCATCTTTTCTTGAGATAGTGAAGTTTGAAAGGTGTGGAATGTGACGTGGCAATGAAAAATAAATTAATTTATAATGACTATTAGATTTTTTTGTGTTAACCATCCATTGTCTCTCCCAAGCTGTTTGTATTTCATTCTTTACTGAATTAATTGGGTCATTAAAAATTAAAAAGTTGTTGGTGATATTGAGAGTGGTTGCTCTTTTAGCAAGGACATCAACGGTTTCGTTTCCCGCAATGACTCTTTACCCACAAAAAGGGTATTTTGTTGTCCAGCAGAGATAGGGTATGCACATATTCTTTTATATTATATAAACTTTGCTTTCGTACTTGGTAATGACCAGTCAAAATGCCTGTGACTAGACGCAGATTCTGTCTAATCATAGTCAAGTATTTGTTTGCTGCAGTGTTGTCAGGATAACTTAAGAGCTCCCTGGCAACTCTGCAGTTTCCTATTTCATCCCATCTTTCCTTGAATTTCACAAGGGAATGTTCTTTGATTAAGTCTGTCACTACCGATTTTGTCAGGCTAATAGAAGGGCCAGGTCCAAAAAGTATTTGGTTGGCTGCTTCCTTGGCTAGTAAATCAGCAAGACAGTTACCTTTCAATGTGGTGTGACCTTTAATCCATCTTAAAGTCACCACGTTTTTGATGGATACTTCGACCAAAGCTTCGTGACATTCTAGTACTTACCCTGAATAAATTCGTGGTCTGTTCAGGGTAAGTAGTCCTTGCTTGCTATCTGTATAGATGAACATGTTACTTCCAGTATAAGGTCCCTTATATATTCTTTTGGTTTTGCATTTGTACGATTTTTTTGTATTCTAATTTTCTAGTAAAATTCTTTTGTATTTTTCTTACTTCTTTCTTGTACAATTATTTTAATTTAATTTTCTATCCATCCTATTTTACTTTTTCTTATTAGTTTTTTGGTTTGTTTTCTCAGTTCTTTATAGGCAATTAAAATATGAATTGAATTAAAAGCAGTTTGTTAAAGTTAATAAAGGTTGGTTAGGTTAGTTGAAAGTTGAAATAAAATGAAAATTACTAAAATATAAAGACCGAGCATAATTTAAAAAAGTTAAGAAGGAGATGAATATACAAAAAAAGTAAGAAAATGATTATTATGGAGAAACAACAGGAGACAGAAGACAAGGAAATTAAGAAAGGCAGGAGTTAGAGCAAGAAGCACGAGAACAAGAGAAACAGAAAAAAAGGAGAAAGAAGACGACCTGAATATTTATTTCTTAATTATATATTATAATTAAAAATTTTTATGTAGGCTTTAATTTACTTTTCAATTTTTGTAATAATCCAGAGAAGCTACAACCCTAAAAGCCTAGGATATTGGAATATTATAACCTTTTTTAGTAGAACCATTACATTATATATAATCTCTTTATTTAAAAAAGAATGAAAACTATTTAAACTAATAATTGCTCAGTTAATTTAGCTGATGCTAAAACATATTTAATTTTTGAAATAATATAAGAAGATTTTTGCATTAGTATTTCTGTAAAACATTTGTTATCTATCATTTGCATAAACAAAGAGAGAAGAACTTTCATGACGCTAATTGATTTTTTTATACAGCCGTACTGGCACATATTTTATTTTTATTTAAAAGTTCCGGCTTATACTCAGACATTTTCTTTTTGAAGTAGAATATTCATCGCGTTAATGAGTGCAGGAAATGGCGGGAAAATTGCTTTTTCTACTCGGAAAATTCATTTTTAATATTGAATTTGCTGTACAAAAAGTTATATAGGACGAGAGGGAACTTATTAGTCTTACTAACGTGATGCTAAATTGAATTTTAGAGGGTACGTTAAATATTATTTTCAACTAAAGAGAAAATTTTAATGGGAATATATTTTTTCTACGTATAAGAACTAGTTCTTATTTATTTAGTGACTAATATAATTTTATATATAATGGTAATTAAAGCTTCGCTCGTCTTTTCATCCTCGTGAGTTATATATTTGTTGGATAGTACTCGTATACTATTTATATTTTACAATAAAGTTAAATATAAATAATTTGGTTTTTCTTATCATTTTACTGTTTTACTTTTCCTAACTAAATTATTTATATATCTATAAATAATCTATATCTGGTTTAAAGCCCACGAGTACTTAAGTTATAGGCTTCTCAGTTAATATTTTAGATATATTTATGAATAGGTTCGATGGTGCTTTAGCGATTTCTTTAGGACCCGGATATTGTGCACCGACATCCCGTTCCCGCTTCCATTTAAAGTTTCCGGCAATGGCATAGTATGTGCATTTTCTACATAAGGAATAATCCGATATCCCTAAGAGATTAAGGTATATTCTAAGACTGCAATGTCCCTGAGTTCTTTCTTGCTAAGGTTTAGTAGTTAATTGTTTTGTCCTTTGTTTGGGCTTTCTATGAATATTCTAGAGTGCTTGAGCTCAGGAAGTTCTAACCAGAGCTTATTGTGTTTCTAAGAGAGTAACTTATGATCTGAGTACAGGCATTTATTGCTTTTTTTAACTAAAAATTTAGGTTTGATAACTTTATTTATATTACTTTTTAAGCGACTTTTGTCAAATTTGTAGGTTTTCTATTTTGACTAGGCTAATTTCGTGTCGTCTGACGAACCATCCGAAAAGTCCCTGTTTTGATAAACGTTGTATTCTCCATAATCAGTCATTTATTAAAAGTTGATAGATATATTCAGAGTATTAAAGATTAGAAAGAACAGTACAGACTCACGGTAAGATATGGCTGTGAAACCAAATACAAAGGAGGAAACATGAAGCTAAGATTCGGAGCTGGATGATGTTTGGAGGAATTAACATAGAGAACAGAAAAGAACATTTCAATATATTCAGTATATTGTATTGTATATAACATTTCAGTTTATTTTAATATTTCAATAAAACATTTCAGTTAAGATGGCTGGGATACATTATCAGGTTGGAGCAACAAAGGCACAAGAAGAAAGTAGTCGATGAAAGTGGAGTAGGACACTAGAAGATGGTAGTCTACATTGCAATTAAATGAAGAGAACTGATAAAGAAAATGAAAATCCAACGAAACTAGGCATAAGCCTACAAGACCTGTTGTATAGTTAGCCAAGTTACCAAAGAAATTCTAAAGGCAATTTTATCAAAAGAAATCAAATCACGACTAGTAAAAGCCTGCCTAGAAGACCCGACACAGCCTAGTAGTCAAAATAAAGTAAGTTTAGTCTGGTACTAGGGGCCACGAAGGATATTACGACAATGAAAAGGTCAACGAACTAGCCCGAGAAAGCTCAGATAAGGTAATTATAGTTCCAGAACTCTTCTGTAGAGTTGCTAAGGCATTGTTCAAGACCTCCATCAAACAATGGTTGCAAAAATATTCTCGCGAATAGTGAAACAACTATCCAGTATTGACATAGGCCAAGTAGCTCATTAGAGAACGGTGAGCCAAGTTCACCAAAAATCTACTGGCTCAAATACGACAAATCGTTAGGAAAACAGTACTTCTTTTTACAGAACACTGTCTTTTAAGAAGATGCATGAGTGTCATCAATACAGCAGAAAAAGTCACATTGTGCATGTTTTGTGAAGAAGAGAAAACATAAATCTATATTCTTTATTTGTGTGGCCTGGCTTGATTAAGGTTTCTAATACTAGATAAAGAAAACTTAAAAAATGCGGGAGCTACTATCAAAGCTACTAAGTCTAATGAAAAAGATCAAGCTAAAATACAGACTCTGAATAATGGTATCCCACAACAGATCTGAAAATGTTGCTGTGGACAAAAACAAATAATGTCCAATTCCTTTGAAATCTAATCTACTTTATATTATTGTGAGTAGTTTTTTTATCAATTATTTCATTTATAGTTATTAAATTATTAAATTAAGTAATGAAAATCAAACAGAGTAAAACAATAGTAGACTTGGTCGTCATATGATAACTTGGGATTGGTCCGAAAAAAATTGAAATTACCAGAAATGTCTCAAAACTCAAATAATTTGAAAAGTGCTTCCTCATATTTTTACCTTCCTAATATTAAGAATTTACTACAACACTTAAAAGTATTTAATTTGTTTATGAAGTCCATGTAATGTGTTTAAAAGTATTTTAATTAGTTGAATCGGTGAGTGGAAAAAGGATAATATTCGAAAATCTTAACTTTTGGAAAATTAAAAAAACTGTTTTACAGCTTTATTTTTAGTGCTATATAAAAGTATTTTAGTAATAAATTTGAAATATTGCCCTTTTTCCACTTTTTAACAAATTTTTATTTTTTATCGAAAAAGAATTTGTTTTTAAACTAAAATTATAAGAAACATTTTCCTCTCAAACTTGGCATCGTATATCAATATTCCTCGTCACCATCACCGTCACCTTCTGCAGTGAGCCAGGTGAGTTTTTCTTCGAAGAATGGAAGAAAGTCTTCAGGTATGTATTGCAAAATTTTTAAAGTGTTTTCAATCTTGTTCATTTTTATTGGTACTCTTTCTATATATGCCCTTATACTAGGTAGAGGCACGTCGTCAACCTTACTCAATTTAAATGTGTTGACACAAAAACTGTCTATGTATTTACCATACTGTACATATCCTCTCTCTGCCTGTTTGAAGACAGTATGTATGTACTTTCTAATAGTAAAAGGTACTTTAATAATTGATCCAGTAGGAGGCGTACAGGTTCTTATAAAATAATGATTAATATATCTAACCATGTATTAAAGATGAGCATTGCATATAATTTCCTTGTACTGTCCAGGTAAATAAATTCGATCATGTTTACGTACTACACGTTTGACCACACCAAAAGTCCTGACACAGGGCATTAAACTATGACCTTTAACAATATAGTATAGGTTAACCTCTTTTAAAACGACCCCTCGTTGTTAGAGTAAGCAACAATCTTTTAAGAGTGTGTTTACGGTTTTACCCACCATACGCATCACAAAAAACATGAAGAATTTCTACTTTCTTTGAAACAGACTTTTCAATAAAATCTAGTATAAAAGTGCAAACCTCCTTAGGCCCTTTCTTGCATTCTCCTTCCGGATAGTTATAAAATATAGACATTACAGTTTTGAAGTCTTGAATATTGAACACATAATAACATAGTTTTCTCAGGTGAAACATCTCCTGCACAGGCATTAAGGGCAGGGGCAAATTTTGCATATAGTCAGATACTATTCCACTAACTTTTGGGTAAATTTTGTTCAGTTCTTGCACGCTCTTCTTGTTATAAAACTTCGTTGCCCTTCGTTTATGCACCATGAGTTCAGCAGCAGTGACCATTTTGCGCCATCATTTAAAAAAGTTGATTTGATCTTGGTATTTAACTCTTCAAAGGTAGAACAAACATCTACCTGTGGTCAGTCAAATTTGTAGTTAAAACGTTCTTTGAAATATTTCACCACTCTTTTGTATTAGGGAAATTTTTCCAAGAATAGGTTATGATTTTTCGCCATTGTTAACGCTGCTTTAAGGTAAGATATAGACTTAGAACTATATTGAGAAATGATTTGATGTGATTATGTATTTCATCAGTAACAGAGGCTGGTATTGCAGGTGCTCTGTTAAAATGTCGACCACGACCATCTCTTGGTGATTCGTTTGCATTTAACAGATGTGTAGATGTGTCGGTCGAGCCAATGCTTTATTAGATATAGCATGCAAGCTGATAAATGCAATACGGCATACTTTAATACGAATATTGCTTTGCATAGCGAAATACGTAAAAGAAGCAGGGGTTTGTTTTGAGTCTGCTTGGGTAGGACGATGCCTAGAAACGTCATGTCTTTCTATCAGACCCATCAAGTAGGTATTTTTTTATTTTTTGGTTGCCCATTGTATAAAGACGTGATTATTGCTCGTTTATTTTCATATGAGAAATTGTCCATGCATTTATTACGGCAAGAACAGTTTGGCACCGTTGTTGTTTTAGCCTCAACTGAGAGTCCTTTAATGGTGATGAATTTTTCCCCTTTTTTTTGCTTTGCTATATTCTGACTTATTGACTTTACCTTTCTTTCTCCTAGGTTCATCAACCTCTTGTTCCACTAAATCTAACATCTTATTCAAAACACTTTTTAACATAAAAGGAAGAATAGCTTGCAAATTCTCTCACAATAACTGTTCACAAACAATCTATAATCTAACATAACCTATAATAATCATAAAGTGATTTAGGGTAACTAGCGCTGCATGTGTGAGATAAAGGAACAACTTGCTCTCTGTGAATCACATTGAGTGGAAAACAGATAACATTCCTGGAATATGTTCCTTTTTATACTCAACCTTATTTTTAACATTTTAATTGTACGTTTGTATATGAGGACCAATATCCTTCTTTTGGTAAATTAATGAGCCGACATAATTTGAACACATTTACTATCTCAGTTTAATTTTCCATTATATGGAATATTATCCTTTTTTAATTGTTTTGGACGAACGCCAAAATAAACAAAAACACTTTAGTTATCTATTTCAATATTCTCCTATTAAGATTATAATTTCGATACATTCGACGGTTTTGCAACATGTTATCTATTGCCATAATTTTCTTATAGAAAAATAGTTGTTACGGGCCTGGATTGGACCGGAGAAGAATGAAAGCACTTCATTTTTCTTGAAAATTGTGGTAGGAAAAGTTATTTGCAGAGAGAAAGATATGCGTGTCTGGAATATCCAAGAAGGTTTTAGGCTTTCTGGAAGTGCCTGCTTCTGGATATAATGTCGAAATCGTGTATATAAATGATCAAATGTAGAAGCGGAAGAGTTATAGCGCAAGAAAGGAAATCGTAGATTTAATTTTTTTTAAGGAGAAGTGCTTTTTTACTTATATAGAAAACGTTTGTGATGGAAATTTTTATGGTTTATATGTGATTTAGGGATAATCCCGATTGTTGTTGCTTTTTGAGTTAAAATGATTTTATGAGTTATCCACAAAACATGCGTCTAAAGTAAGACATATTATTTTTTTATATGACATCTTATTTAATTCAGAGGCTTGCATACTTATCAGGGGCATGCTTGTTTCGATAATTTTATCAGACTAATTTAGAAAAACAATTGTAGTCATAGTAAAACACTGTAAGCAAAAGTATATAATATGTTAAGCTCAAAAACAATTTGAAACTGAAAATATGAAAATTTTCTCATTTCCAGCAACACAGTTTTTTATACGAAACGTTTTTTTACGGACTATCACATTGAAATTATGTTGTTATGCTACCCGACCAATATCTACCTCTAAATTTTGGCACTCTGCTAACCAGATACTAATGAAGATATTTTATTTAAAAAACAGAAAACCATACAAAAGCAAAATATCAAATTGTACCTAATTTTTCTTGCCATGGGTTTAATATATCAAAAAATGATACACAAAAAGGCAATCTCAAGTAGTTAGGTTAAGTCCAATGTCCTAAACATGTTCTTTCTCATTTTAGCAAGTCTTGGATGGAACATTTGATTGTTTGGTCAGGTGAATTGCTTGGTTCAGTACTTCTATTCGCTCCGTGCGCGACAGCAGCGCCAATTTGTTTTGTTATTAAAGGACTATTTCTGCCTATACTGACAAATACAATTTTTAATAGAATTCGTAAATAAAAAGTACATATGTTAGTTTTAATAAAAGTATATGGATTTGTAAAATAAGTAAAACATTAATTTATTATTATATATTTCTCCCGCTTAAATTAAAGAAAATTATATATAATTAATAAAAATTAATAATAAAATATAGTCAGGCAACAGTATTTACTGGAGAATGTATGAGAAGTTGCCTAAGTCTAATTAGTTATTGAAGAATTAGCCTATTTGTCAAAATAAAAAAATACCATTTAATAATAATAGCGTGAAGTTAAAATGTATAAAAAAGGATTGTTATTTATATTTTCATTTTTGTTCAAAAGAAAACAGAATGAATGATTAAAACTGGTTTCCCATCAGTAAGTCAGAAAATTGCATTCCAGTCACATATTATAATCAAAGCAAGAAATCTTGAAATCTAGTCCTTGCTGAATGAACATTTAAGAATAAAGGGATATTAAAGGACATCATAAAATGTTAATTTATTGTTTATTTAAAACCTTTTAAGTTTCTAATGTCTACTATTTCCAGCATTACTGTTATTATCACAAAAATAAAGGTAATTTTTCATCTTATTGTACACAAATCCATTTATTTCTTTGATTTAATTTCCACTTTTCTAGTGAAATTTTTTATATAAGTGTCACTGTTTTTTTTTGCTAGTATTTGTACAATTTTCAACACAGCAACTCCGGTTGCTTATTGTGTAGATTTTACCTACTTTTTTGAAAAAAAAGTTAAATGTATTAGGACCGATTCCACCGTTGTGTTAAACGGAGATTAAAATGACATTGTTAATGTAAAAATATCATTTTAAACTCCGTTTAACACAACGGTGGAATCGGTCCTAAGTGTATTTGATATGCCAAAATTACAAAATATCGCCCTAAAATGCACGAATTATCCGCAGCTAGCGCTAGTATCGCTTTTGCTTCCTTTTCCATGACTTCGCACGGAGCGAATAGACATGTCATATAGTTTTTGTTATAGAACAGCTATTAATATAGAAGTCATATCTGTGTCAAAGATCAACTACAGAATGTGAAAAATGGTGAACCTCACTGGGCATTAATAGACACTCTAAAAATATGTTAAAATTCGAGAGACGCTAAAAGACTCCAAGGAAGGAATGGCTTCTAGGAAGAATCGAAGAAGTCTACCCTGGGAAAGACGGTTTAATTCGAGTTACCAAGGTTATCACCACGAAAGGTACTTACACTAGGCCTGTATCAAAATTATGTGTCCTCCCAGCTTTTTTAAACAAACGTAAGTGAAGTTCCTTCACGTGGTGGAGAATGTATAAAATATATTATTTACGTGCGCCTATATATTATTTTTATTTTTATGTAGTAGTTTATGAATGTCTCTCTTGGGATAATAATTGGAATATTCAGGTTAATTACAATTTTGTAATATATTAAAAGTTTAATCGTAGTTGAACTTAATATTTCCCTTGGATTTATTATTTTACAAAAGACATGTATCCAAAATTCATGTCTATTTTATATATTCGTACCAATCAATGGGAATAATCTGAAATTATTTTTTTTCCATACATGTTGTGCTACCTTGTTAATTTTAAATTCGTTTAAAATGTATTTGGCTCCCAATCAATCCGTATTTTATCAAAAGCTACGACTTCTTTAAACACTATCTTTCAAGTAAACATCTGTAACTACCTAACTAGACAATTATTTATAATCAACACGTCAGTCGTGGCATCTCACCTGGAAAAGCGCCAGCGAATGATGAATTTCTCAGGAAAGATTTTCTCACAAAATAATAGAATGAATTTCTTCCGATGACTGAATCATGGCGCAAATTTCAGTTTCATTTGCCAAGATTAAATTCCCCTTGAAGATAATTGAATTTCTCTGAAAATGGCGCGGCGGTTCGGTTCGAAACTTTTTAATTAATACTTTCTTAATTGCATCAAAATGCACTCGCGGATTTTTCTTGCTATTTTACGGATGATTTAATTAAGTAATTCTTCTTTGTTGGAGAACAAAAAAAGGAGCAGCTGATACCGGGATCTTTGATAATAATTAGAATGAGGCTATTGTACTTTTTCTCTTTACTTTGCCAAAGAAAATTTTTATTTCGGCTTCATAAATTTTTACTTTTAATGACTTAAAGATAGTAGACTTTTAATGCTTGTTAATGTCAATTATTACTGTGCTTTTACGTAGTAATAGTTCTCGATTAAAATTTTATTATACGGAGAAGTGTTAAACATAGAAAATGTTGTAGATATTATATTGTTAATGGTATTGGTATATTATGTTACATATTATTGATCTGAGAAAAGTTTAATTTTAGTAAATGATTTATAGAATTATTTAAATAGACGAATTCCATACGAAAATTTGTAATAGTAGTCTGTACAAAGAGAGTGAATTTGATGGTCATATCTCACGAAGTTTGAGATGGACAAAAATTTAAAAATTAATTTGGAAGTAATTTAAATAAATATATACTTTAAAATTGTATTTATAAACTTTACTAATATATAAAAGTATTACAATTTATTTTGATTTAACATTTATATTTAATTGAATTGCTTACAAATAGTTTATTGAAATTTAAGGTTTATGTTTAAATCTAAAGGTTATTATTTATCGATTCTTCGAAAAATCTATAAGCTTTTAATATTATTAATTAAAAAATACATTTTTTGTTAGTTTAACAGAATTGCCGAATTC